GCCACTATGTTGTATGGCTACTACTTAAGAACTGTTTGGGCACCAATGTAACTGATGCCATCTTCTGCAGAGGGTTAGAGCACAGGCAGCACTAGCCTGCAGCTAAAGACAAAAGGCTCCAGCTTCAAGAATGAATGTAACTTCGGCTACCCTAGGTCTCCATTCAATGTTGGCTATTCAAAATGCTCAAACCTTCCTATCCACTCTGGCTTCCCTCTCCACAGAGATGGAGCTCTTTCAGATGTACCATATCCCACAATGCCCACAGGAGTATGGTCTTCAATTGGGTGCACTGGTGTAATGTGCATACAGAAGAAGGCTATACAGAATTTAACAAATTTAACAAACTGATACACTTAAATACTGGAGATACCAGTGCACCACTGATGGCCTGGCACAGCTGTAGAGCATCACTGGCACTCAGTGGGCCTCAGGCAATTAAATTGCTACTGGTGGTTGGAATACAATTAATTTTAGAGAAGTACAGAGAAGGAGCCATGTCCTTGAAGACTATGCTCCTGTAGGCGGTGTGGGTTGCAGGAGGGTTAGGCAGAGGCCAATGAACTTTATGAAGCTAGGAACAGTCTAGAGCTAGAAGTACCCAGACACCTCCAGTGATCTAAAGGAGTGCCACCTCCGTGGAGAAAAAAGCTGAAGAAGACAACAAGGCTTGAGCATTTTGGATGCACAAGGTAGCAGAGGTTGCATTAATACTTGAAGCGGGAGCTTTTTTTCTGTAGCTGCAGGCTCGTGTTGGCTGTGCTTTAACCCTCTGCAGGAGATGGAGTTTGTTTAGTATGTTCGTTAAATTAGTACAACTCTCATGGGTAGACATGGCTTCAAATAGCAGGTTTTAGCCTAGGCCATTTCAGTTAAAAATTAAACAAAATTGCTGTTAATTGAGTGAATAATGGCAGAAAAATATGACCATGCCCAGGTAACCTACAACATTTTCAAATCTTGCTTTTAAACCATGGTGCTGGTTGGGGAGAGTTTCAAATGCCAATATTTGATTTTGTCCTGATTAAATATTATTTCAGAGTGACGCCCTCTGACTTAAAATGAATTGTTCTCACTAATTCTGAATTAATAATGCTGGGTGGAATACTTTTCAGCAAAACTGGCATTATGTCTGGAAAGATGATAGAAGGGTTTCTTTTGTAATAAGAATAGAAGATTTCAACACTCAAACCACTATGTGGTGCCTTTGAAGAGCACTTTGAATAAGAGATCTACCTGAGATTTTCCTTGCAGATTTCCAGAAATGCTCCCTAATAAGGGCAAGACTCCCCCATTAATATGGGGAGGTTTCAGGACTCACTCACAGATTCCTGGGAGGCTCAGGCCTTCTACATGGGAACCACTGTATGTTCACAGCAGCTCTGGCCAAGTGACTCCAATGGTGCCACACTCCCAAACTCCTCTGGCCACAATTGAACTGCTTGTAGGATGCCTTTAAAGGATCCCAGTGCAGAGGAGGTGCAAACAAGTAATATAGCTTCCGATGGAAGAGATGCTTTCATACATTTCTCACCTAAGTATTGCTGGCAAATTTGTAAGTTTCCTCTACAGATTTACTTAAGTCCTAACTTCTGACCTTGAAGTAAAGGTGGACCACCATTTTATTTAGAAAAAACTACAGTTCCAAATGCATGGAAAAAAGAACTGATCACCAGTGTCAAGCTGCTTACAGCTTCAGGACTGGTCACTAATGATTCTGAACATGATTCTTCAGCAATTTCATCATTGGACCATCCATTTCAGTGGCTTTATGATCGAATCCTTTACTGTTTATTCTGGTACAACTCCCAGTCACTGATTCAGGTTGAATATAGTACCAAACCAAGATCTGATGTGAATAGAAGCTTTGCACAAATAACAACCATACAGTTTGGTTTCTAGGTTGCAAATGAACTTAATACAGCTATCTGTACACACGAGGACCAGCATCACAAAACAGATGGGCACAAAACTGAATGGTGCCATAATTTATAAATCCTGGCATTTATTCTTCCACTTTGCTTTTGTTCTTGTTCACAAAGCAGAACGTACAGGTTGTTGCTACCTTTTGTGAGCAAGTTTTATATACATTTAAAGCAGTCGTTTGAAAATATCCCTTTATGAAGAACAGATATGGCTAAAGGCAGGCACTGAGGAGTTACATTTATTGCATGCAGACTTACAGTTTTGCTTGGAACCTGGTTTTGCAGGCAATATATCTCTGCACTTGAGACTGGTTGACCCCATATATACCAGTCCAGGTGAAGGTCCCACCTATGACAATTGTCCAGAAGGTATGCCTTTGCAAAGGATTTGGATTAAAGCTAAATGGAAGAAAAAAAATAACAAACTCAGAATATGGACAAAGATGCAGATGCTGTTTAACATCTTCAAGACTGTTGAAGCTGGTCACATTTTAGCTAAGGATTTATAAACTTACTCCCAGAAATTTAATCTTCCTCCATGGTAGGAATCATTTAGAATGCGTCCGATTCCCCCTTGAACCACCACAGCACGTATAATCACGGATGAAAATCCAGCTACCATGATTCCAACCTGGAAAACATCTGTCCAGACTACTGCCTTTAGGCCACCCTGTGTGAGGAACAGCAGATTCAATGTATAGTAGGAGCATGAAATTAAGATGAAATTCAAATGTATGGGCCAGCTTATCCCCACCTCAGGAAAATGGCATGGGAAGGGCAGAGTGAGGTGATCAGTTTCTTTCAGCCTAACTCTCTTCGGCTCTCAGTGCTATCAAGATGGATTCTGCCTTTTCTATGTGGTTATGTAGAGCCCTGCATACATACAAAATTTGTATCCACATCTATATCCGCAAAATGAGCCGCGGATATCTACATGCACCTCTGAAGATGTGGGTACCCACAGATATACAGTGGATATCCACAGATTTGTAGGGGTCTATGGGAGAGCACAGATCCACAGAGGATGTTTTCCATGTGCAGTCTGGAGCAGGGGAAAAGATGGCCTGACCTTCTGCCTTCATTCAAGTTTAAACTCAATCTTTGTGTGCTACTTTCTAGTGGAAGGTTGTTCTGTATTTTAACTGACCTGTTAAAGGAAGGGGTGAGGGTTTCTATAAAATGAACTGTCAACATACCAGTGTGCAATAGAATGTACAGACAACTCCAGTGGCAACCACTGCACCCCATAAGTCAAATCCTGTGACTGAAAAAGAGAGAAAATGTACAACTGCAAAGACTGTTTATAAAGTAAATCTCTTAACAGCCAACAAGATTTCTGGGGGAAGGGGTGTCTGGTTGGCTGAAAAAAAATAGAACAATTTTAAATAGACAAGTGGAAAATAATGGTAGCACTGAAATTATTTGTGCACTAAAGCCCAGTGACTTTGACAGACAAAGAATAAAACCGACTCATAACCATTATTGTGATAGACTTTACAAACTGCTGAGCAATTAGAAATATTTTTGCATCTAAGGACTAATTTCCCTTTAATTAAAATTTCAACAGCTAAGACTATATGCTAACTTTTTAAGCCCATGAATTATCTCATTGACTTCAACACAAAGGGATTCATGCAGGTAGACACTAAGGGTATGTCCAGACTACATGGCTCTGTTGACAGAGCCATGTAAACTAGTTTACCTGGAATAGGCAAAGAAGTGGGGATTTAAATAATCCCCGCTTCATTAAAATAAACATGGCCACCGCGCTGTGGTAAAATAAATGAAGTACCTTGTAAAATGTAATATAATTAGGATTTTTTCTTTTTACCTTGATTCAGTGCCAAAGCTGGAGCATAAATAACAATTCCAGTGTATAAAATCTAAAATGGATAAAGGACACACTAAGACAAATGAAAAGCAACTTGTTCTATACCTTCTTAAATTAATTTACCTGTAGTATACATAGGGAAATTTATCTATAGATATTCATAGAGTCTATATCACCAGAACTGTGCAGTATTAAGTAATAATTCCTAGAATATTCTGTTCCTAGAATGAACGCTACAATGGTTCTTAAATACACAGGCCCTCTTTGACTTTTCCTGGCTTTTATATCAAATTATTGTATTGTTAAAAAAGTGCCGTAATCCCATACAATGCCAGGCTGCTGAAACTCGTGGAAAGAGAAAAAATGCTGAGGCTGGCAAGTACTTTTCCAAGAAGTTTCTTGTTACCTTGATGCCATTCAATATGCAAACATAACTCAGATTAACCAGAACTAGAGCTATGCTATTCAGTAATAATTCTGGTTTATTAGGGTTTATAGACACTGTATGCTGCCTACATTGGAGAGTGACACGCACATAGGGGGTTGTGTGCAGGTCTGATTATCCATCCCTTACCAAAGCTTTTCCCTTATGATTATCATCCGAATGTGACGACGAGTATCGATACTGCCTATAGTTGTTTGATTTATTCCTTTTTAAATCCTGTTTGCCTTTTAATTTGTTGGAGCAAATTCAGACTTGGCCTTAAAGTCACAGATGGTGGGGAGCAAAGGGGCAATTGCCCCAGGGCTCCCAGCCGCCTCTGCCATCCCCTCAGCAGTAGCAGCAGACACTGCCCCAGGCCCTTTAAATTGCCTGCGGAGCACATCTCTCTGGGCAGCTCTGAGGGCTGACAGGAGGCTAAGGGGTGAGGAGCATGGTGCACTCCCAGCAGCACTGAGAGCTAGCTGCCCCCAGCCCCACTCCTTCCTCAAGCACCCCTACCTTTCCCAAGGACTCGGAAAATCTGTTGCCGCCCCTCCCCTGCAGGCATCACCCAGAACCTGCACGCTAAACCCAGCAACTGAGATTAGGTCAAAGTATTTCAGCCCATGAGAAACTAGACTGTGATGTATGAAAGGCAGAGACTAAGAGGGACCCAGCTGCATCAGTGAGATCTACCAAGACTCTTGGCAAGTGACCTGCTCCCACATGCTGCAGGGGAAAGTTTTTTAAAAAAAAATCAAGATCACTGCCAACCCCACATCTGACAAGCAAGAGCCAGCCAGCCAAGCACCTGAGAGGGAGAATGCTCAGAGCCACCTCAGAGCCCTGGCCACCCCACCACAACAAGCAAGGAAAATAAAGCCATGCCCCTGCTCCTTCAACTTGTACCATCATATATCCGGCTTTCCAATGGTTTACTCAGGTGATATTCCTATTGATCTTGGTGGGGACAGCACCTTGTTATCATCATCAGCTGAATGTGCTTCCCCCTCCCCCCCCAGAATTCCAAACTGGTGCCATTTTCAAGTGTGCTGAATGTGCTTTTCCCCCCCACAGAATTCCAAACTGGTGCCATTTTCAAGTGTTTTGCATACTTTGGGACAAATCTTTGGCCAAGCTAAGGCTGCTTCACACTGTTCCTGTAGCACAAAGCCATAAACGCAGCTAAGCCAGGGCTGTAGAGGATTCACTCTATGTTGGGGAATCTTCTGGTAACCATAGGACTGCCATAGTAACTCCTACATCATCTCCTTTCCACTGTCATCTCTATCAACGCCTCCCTTCCCATGGTGAAAAGGGCCTGGCTAGGGCATCTCTGCACAGACTGGTCCCTTAAAATTGTGGGCATTCATGTTTAATGTATAGGCTGCTCCACATCATGTTAAGAGTCCGACTCAATTCCCAGACTGGTGAAACAAAGTTAGTTTAAAGCCACCTTTCCCCTCCACTCTCTTCTTCAGGTGTGCTGAGTGTATTCCCCTCACAGATAAAGATATAGCTTCATAGAGCTCAAGCTGTGCTGTTTTGTCACCTACACCTGTTTTCTGACCAACCTACACCTAACTTGTAGGCTTCACAAATTGTAGAGTACCTGGCTGACTGTGAGCTCGGCATGATACAGCAAGCTTTTTGAGTGAATCAGCATCCAAAAGTAGGTTTCTAATAAGCAGTGAGGGTTTTCCCATCTGCTTTTTGGCATCCCAGACAAAATGTGTTCTTGTCACATCCATTACCAAATTTTGTATGAATTAAAAGAATCAAGATCTAATCGTTCATCTTCTTCATTATCTTTAGATTGTGTTACTAGAAAAAATGACACACTGATGGCTATAGGACCAATAAAATTATGCCAGAAAAATGGTAAAATACAGTATTCCACTATACTCCTAGTTCTCCCTATATCTCTGATGGGTTTGTATTGCTTTACAGGGAGGGACAAGTATCAGTGCCAAGTAGCAAGCGGCCAGCTAGCATTGTAATGTATGTTTTAGTTCAATGTTCCCTAGATACTCAGGTTACTCAAGAGTCCTCCGGGCAGGGAACAAAGAGCAGCGCGGGAGAGCTTATGTTCTCAAACTCATTATTAGGTAGGATTAAGAATTTCCTTGTCTCTTTCTTTCGTGTTAATTTCTCATATTTCACAATAAGCTTAGCAACCACTTACAGGCAACTACCAGTTACATCACATTAAGTAAAGCAAAAGTTTATTAAAGATCAAAGAACCTGCTTGAGGTTTACTTGCCGTTTGTATAATGAAGAGGATTGTCCCACAAAGACGCAGATATTTATTAAATCGAAGCTCTAAATACTGCAAAAGAGATGAATAAACAACTTTTCTGTAAAAATTTTACATTTAGAGAAATAGTATTAAGAACTCGCCTGAAAGAAAAGATACTACTGTACAGAAGTCACAGTTTTGATATTGACGTGGATGGCTGTTAGCTCTCATGGTCACCCTGAACTTGTTTAATGCAGACATCACAGTCATTTAGTTTAACCTGAGAGAAGCTAAATATTTATCTAGTCAATACAAGATGGAGTACACAGAACAGATTTTGGTCATATGTATATACATATGTAGAAACTTCTACCATAAGTGTCTTAAAGCAGTTTTTAGACAATAGTTGTGCATTATGATTGAACAAAATCCAGAAGTTGTTATGCCTTTAGCTATGATGCTAGCTAATTAGGAGTAAATATAACTTTTTTTTTATAGTGAGGAAAAAGGAAAAGTTATCTCTGTCCTCTTGGGAAACTGCCAAGATTTTTATTTGCACCTGAACAGCTGCCTGAGATGGGCAGAAGGTTTTCAGTTTAACTGAATCATATAAAGCTGGATCTCCTGCTACTGTTGCACCATGAGCAGCACTTGCCTGAAAACATTCACTGTCTGTTAGCATTGTCTATAAACCCAGCTTCTGGTATGGTATAGAACAGGGGGAGTCAACAAGCGAACTGCAGATTGCCAGATGCTTTTGAAATATATACTGTGGCTACGTCTACAAAGCGGAGCTATTTCGGGATACCTGTGGTATCCCAAAATAGCTATTCTGTGACTTTAAACATGCCCATTATTTTGAAAGAGATTTCGAAATAACAGGCATGCTATTTTGGCATCCCTGTAACCCTTGTTCCATGTTTGTTAGTCTTTAAGGTGCTGCAAGACTATTCATTGTTTTTTAAGGTTTTCCAAAATACAGAGAATGATGAGCTTTCTTAGGCAAAACCCACTTCATCAGATGAAGTCCAATTCATCTGAAGAAGTGGGTTTTGTACACAAAAGCTCGTGATTCCATATATTTTTATTAGTCTCTAAGAGTATGTCTACACTACCCTCCTATTTTGAAATAGGAGGGTAATGTAGGCATACCGCACTTGCAAATGAAGCCCGGGATTTGAATTTCCCGGGCTTCATTTGCATAAGCCGGGCGCCGCCATTTTAAAATCCCGGCTGGTTCGAACCCCGTGCCGCGCGGCTACACGCGGCACGAACTAGGTAGTTCGAACTACCGTTACTCCTCGTGGAATGAGGAATAACGGTAGTTCGAACTAGGAAGCCTAGTTCGAACTACCTAGTTTGTGCCACGTGTAGCC